ATTTGAAGTCAAGTTATTAACAGTGTCTCATATTTGTCACTTGAGCTTTTGTCTTTCTATTCAACTGACAGGACCTATACAAGTTGACATTTTGAATCATGACATTTTGGGCTGCATATCTGACAATTTTGTTGTCATATGAGCACATTAGCCCATAGTCAGGAATTTGCTTTATCCTGATATAAAAATCTTACTACCTTAAGAAATTATATATTTCATAGCTCTTTAAAATTATGATAAATCTGCTCTAAAACCATATGAAAGTCACCTATAATGCCTTTATTGTAAAAAAGGAAATTTACTCTAACAGCATGGTATTCATTCATGATTCCTTTTTTTAAAAAAAGATTTTATTTATTTATTTGACACAGAGAGAGACAGCGAGAGAGGGAACACAAGCCAGGGGAGCGGGAGAGGGAGAAGCAGGCTTCCCAGGGAGCAGGGAGCCCAATGTGGGGCTGGATCCCAGGACCCTGGGATCATGACTTGAGCCGAAGGCAGACGCTTAACGACTGAGCCACCCAGGCGCCCCATTCATGATTCCTTTTAAAATAATATTGTTAGATGCTTATTTGAAGTTATGAATGAAATATCTTTGGATGTTAGTGGGTAAGTTATACAGATTTCCTCTTATAAATTCTAAAAGTAAAAATACATCAATGTACTTCAGATTAATAAGAATGCTATTTAAAATGAGATACACACTTATATATGTTTAGTTATATTTGAAGGGGGCTTAGAAATTTAGAAAATACTTTTCTAAGTAATTACTGGGTATAGAAAAACTTAAAACTATAACTATTTTGAAAATGAATAATAATGAGATCACTGTACATCTGCACTTCTTATGTCACATGGCCAAAGAAGTGGTCAGGGGAAAATTCACAGCCACAGATGTTTTCATTATTAACTAAGACCAAAAATAAACGAGCTTATTAGTCAATTTAAGAGTTATAAACAGAACAACAAAACAAGTATAACAACTAGAGAAAGAACTTAATAAATGTAAATAAGATGGGTGAATCAGAAAACAGAAATAATAGAAATAAAAATTAATCTAAGAACGTGTTCTTTGAAAAAACAACAAAAATTAACAAAATTTCTGGCAAGTCCAATGGAAAATAAGAAAAAATGTATTCACTAGCAAATATATAAAACATGGCAACAAATATAGATACTTTATGGGAGATAGTCTATAAAGCTCATAGAGCACGGTGGTGCAAGACGGTGGAGTAGGAGACCTTAGTTTCGTCTGGTCCCAGGAATTCAGCTAGATAGTTAGCAAATCATTCTGAACACCTGTGAACTCAACCAGAGATCTAAGAAAAGAACAGCTGCAACTCTACAAAGAGAAAAGCAACCACTTTCTGCAAGGTAGGAGGTGCGGATAAGCGAACCCAAGGCGATATATGGGAAGATAAACTGCGGGAGGAGGGAGCATCCATTAGCTGGCTACCAGAAAGCGATATAGCAGCAGAACCCAAAATCAGAACTTTTAGAAGTCTGCTCCAGTGAGGGACATCCCTGCCTGAAAGACGCTCAGGAGGCAAAGAGGGGGCGGAATCCTAGGTGGGACAGTGTAGTCTCAGGATCTTTGGAGTCACAGGAAGACCAGGGATGCCTGAGTGAGGCTGAGTTCCCAGGCATCAGAACAGGGAATCCAGCTGCAATCAGCAAGCCCAGGAGTGGGCTCTCAGCAGGGGGTTGCCATAAACTACGAACCATGTCACAGTCCGACAACTGCTCTCTAAGCAGGGGCCCAACAAACAGCAGAACCAGCTAGACCCCCACTTCCCCCCATAGGAGGAGCAGTGGGAGACTGCACAGCAGGAGTCTGCAGGGTTTGGAGACTTGAAACAGGGTCATGTACCTGAGACAGAAACACTCGGTCACAGGTTGGGCAAGCACTGAGTGCAGATGGAGACGAGGGAGACAGGACTGATTGATTGCTTTTCTCTGAGGCCACACTAAGGAGTGGGGCCCCAAGGCTTCAGCTCCAGGACTGAGAAGGGGAGGCCACCATTTTCATTCTCATCCTCTAAAGCTGTGAGGAAAGCCTCCAGGGAACAAAAGCCACAAAGAGCAATCAGGAGCAAATTACATAGCCTGGCCCCCTGGCAAGGGTGGTGCAATTCTGCCTGGGGCAAATACACTTGAGAATCAGAGCAACAGGCCCTTCCCCCAGAAGATCAGCAAGAACATCCCGCCAAGAGCAGGTTCAGTGGGAACTCCAAAACTCCAGCACTAGCGGAATATAGCCTATAGAATTCATGGTTTTTTCTCCACGATTCTTTATAGTCTTTCAATTTTAATTTTTTTTCTCTTTCCTTTTTCAACCAATTTCTTATTTTATCAACTCTTTTGTTTAAATCTTTTTTTTAAAAGATTTTATTTATTTATTTGACAGAGAGAGACACAGCAAGAGAGGGAACACAAGCAGGGGGAGTGGGAGAGGGAGAAGCAGGCTCCTCGCCGAGCAGGGAGCCCAATGCGGGGCTCGATCCCAGGACCCTGGGACCATGACCTGAGCCAAAGACAGACACTTAATGACTGGGCCACCCAGGCGCCCCTGTTTAAATCTTTTTTAATTTTCATTTTAAAAATTACATTCTATCCTTTCCTTGTATTTAATTTTATTTTTGTACAAAAATACGTTTTTCTTTCTTTACAGTTTTGGGATCTAGTTTTCTAACAACCAGACCAAAATACACATAGGATCCAGTGTATTGCTCTATTCTGTTCACCATACACAAAAATAGACTCAAAATGGATGAAAGGCCTAAATATGAGACAGGAATCCATCAAAATCCTAGAGGAGAACACAGGCAGCAACCTCTGTGATCTCAGCTGCAGTAACTTCTTGCTAGACCCGTCTCCAAAGGCAAGGGAAGCAAGGGCAAAAATGAACTATTGGGACTTCAACAAGATAAAAGACTTTTGCACAGCAAAGGAAACGTTCAACAAAACCTAAAGACAACCAACAGAATGGGAGAAGATATTTGTAAATGACACATCAGATAAAGGACTAGTATCCAAAATCTATAAAGAATTTATCAAACTCAACACCGAAAGAACAAAGAATCCAATCAAGAAATGGGCAGAAGACATGAACAGACATTTCTCCAAAGAAGACATACAAAATGGGCAACAGACACAAGAAAAAAGACTCAACATCACTTGGCATCAGGGAAATACAAATCAAAACCACCATGAGATACCACCTCACACCAGGCAGAATGGCTAAAATGAACAAGTCAGGAAACGACAGATGTTGGCAAGGATGCGAGAAAGGGGAACCCTCTTATACTTTTGGTTGGAATGCAAGCTGGTACAGCCACTCTGGAAAACAGTATGGAGGTTCCTCAAAACGTTGAAAATAGAGCTACCCTACAGCCTAGCAATTGCACTACTGGATATTTACCCCAAAGATACAAATGTAGTGATCTGAAGGGGCACTTTCACCCCAATGTTTATAGGAGCAATGTCCACAATAGCCAAACTATGGAAAGAGCCCAGATGTCCATCAACAAATGAATGGATAAAGAAGATGTGGTATAGGGGCATCTGGGTGGCTCAGTTGTTAAGCGTTTGCCTTTGGCTCAGTCATGATCCCAGGGTCCTGGGATCGAGCCCCACATTGGGCTCCCTACTCAGCAGGAAGCCTGCTTCTCCCTCTCCCACTCCCCCTGCTTGTGTTCCTTCTCTTGCTGTGTCTCTATCAAATAAATAAATAAATAAAATCTTAAAAAAAAAAAGATGTGGTATATATATATCCAATGGAATACTACTCAACCATCAAAAAAATGAAATTTTGCCATTTGCAATGACATGGATAGAACTAGAGGGTATTAGGCTAATCGAAATAAGTCAATCAGAGAAAGATGATTACCAGATGATCTCGCTGATATGTGGAATTTAAGAAACAAAACAGAAGATCATAGGGGAAGAGAGGAACAAATAAAACAAGACAAAATCAGAGAGGGAGACAAACCACAAGAGACTCTTAAGCATGGGAAACAAACTGAGGGTTGCTGGAGGGGAGACAAGTAGGGGGATGGGGTTACTGGGTGATGGACATTAAGGAGGGCATGTGATGTAATGAGCACTGGGTATTAGTATTATATATGACTGATGAATCAATGACCTGTACCTCTGAAAGCAATAATAAATACATTATATGTTAATTGAATTTAAATAAAAATAAGTAAATTTAAATTTTAAAAAATAAAGCTCATGAGAGTACTAGAAAATCTGAATTCTAAGAAACTGTAGGGAATCTAAATGGATTCAGAAAGAAGTATTAAATCTGAAATAACTAAAACAATGGAAGAAATGGAGTTTTCAGAGAACTTGCCCCATATATGCATGTTCAGATTATTTACCTGTAACTTTTTTATTTTTATGCTTTTTGAATTTTTTTTTTTAAAGATTTTATTTATTTATTTGACAGAGAGATAGAGAGAGAGCACAAGTAGGCAGAGAGGCAGGCAGAGGGAGAGGGAGAAGCAGACTCTCCACTGAGCAGGGAGCCCGACATGGGGCTCGATCCCAGGACCCTGGGATCATGACCCGAGCCGAAGGCAGCCGCTTAACCGACTGAGCCACCCAGGTGCCCCTGAATATTTCTATACATAGGAAATGTTGGAAATATTTTTGTATGATTTTTCAAGGTGATATTATAATGACAAAAAAAGAGAGAATCTTCAGGATTTAGCACCTGAAAAGGAGCCCACGTACTACTCTTTCTATGAAAATAGGTCTAAACATCTGAGGGAAGAAAGTAGCAAAATAAGTCCGGTAGCATGTTAAAAATAATCAAACTGAGTTTATCTAAGGACTGGATCAATGTAAACAAATGTATTAGTATAATGCACCAGATGGCAAAAACCCAGTGATCATACTAACAGATACTGAAGAGGCAACTGATAAAACTCAACATCAATTACTGATAAAAAGAATTTTTAGTAAACTAGAGATCCATTATATTTAAAAGGACTCACAAGATCCTGCGGAAGAGCAGCATTCCCATCAGGGTGAGGAGGAAGACGAGGGTCCATGTTATTCCCACCATTACATCAGCCTCTTCTGACAGCGCCACTACGGTGAGACAAACAAGAACAACGTCGTCATCAGCTAGGTATTACTGCTGAAAAGTAAAAGAAAGGATTTAAAGTATGTGTACATAATATGAAAGACAGGATTGCTTTCCAGGAAAATGCAAGGGTATAATCACATATCAAATTGAAAGGGGACACTAATAACTGACAAAGAATGTGCAACACGAAAGATCTGAGAAAAATGAACACTTCGGCACAAAAAAGGGTAAAGGATCAAATAAGCAATTTACAAAAAACAAATACAAATGGCTATTCAATATGTAAAACGTTCAGCTGTACATGAAACAAAGAATTGCTAATCAAAGCAGTATTTATATACTGCTGTTCCATTTGTACTGCCAAAAGAGTTTTGAGGACCATAATATCTGGTGCAGGATAGTGGAAAATGAACATGCCTATGCTGCCAAAAATACATACACTGATATAATACTTTTGAAAGGAAATTAACATGTACCAAAACCTTACATTTTTGTATAACTTTGAACCCCAGAATTTAAATTTTAAGAATTTATACAAAAGGGATTATTACAAATGAGCAGAAAGTTGTTAACCTCCAGAATATTTATCAGTTTTTTTACTATAGTAAAAAAGAAAGTAAATTAGATTTAAAAGCATGTGATATACCCATAAAATGAACACAATATTCAACAATCATTAAAATTATATCATAGAGGAATATTTAATGATGTGGAAATACATTCAAAATATACTGTTAAATTCAAGGGAGTAGGTGACAAAGTTTCATAATAGTATAATCCCAGTTTTTTATTGAGATATAATCCACATATAACTGTGTGTAAATTTAAGGTGTAAAATGTGATTTGATACATTGATATACTGCAATATGATTACCACCACAGCATTAGCTAAAACCTCTATAACGTCACATAATTATTTCTTTTTTGTGGTGAAAACAAGTAAGATCTAGTCTCTTAGCAACTTTGAAGTTTACAAAATACTATAGTTGACTCTAATCACTACACTGTGCATTAGATCTGCAGAACTTATTTATGTTCCCCTTGCAAGTTTGTACCCTTAAACAACATCTCTCCATTCCCTCAATTCTCCTATCCCCCAGCCCCTGGGAGCTACCATTCTATTTCCAGTTATTTTGTTAAGAAGTAATCTATCTGTATTTATACACACACACACAGACCCAAGGCTAAGGAAAATATGTTCCAAATATTTAGAAAACATTAACAATGGTCATTGATGCTGGTGGAATTACAGGTGATTTCTACCTCTCTCTTTTGCCTTTTCTGCTACTCTCTATAAAGAACTTGCATTGGGACGCCTGGGTGGCTCAGCCAGTTAAGCGTCTGCCTTTGGCTCAGGTCATGATCCCAGGGTCCTGGGATTGAGTCCCGCATCCAGCTCCCTGCTCTGCGGAGAGCCTGCTTCTCCCTCTGCCTCTCTCTCTCTCTCTGTCTCTCATGAATAAATAAATAAAATCTTAAAAAAAAAAAAAGAACTTGCAGTGTTCTTTTCTCTACCTTTAAAAAATGAGACAACAGACATCGGGAAATCATAATTCAAAAGGGAAGATATTTTCTTCTTTTCAAATGAATGGCTTACACTACAATTCAGCATTTTACTGTCTTCAATTCTGGTCACATAAGTGACTAAGTAGAGTGAAAGAAAGACGTTTGATACTTTTAGGAAGTTTAAGGCTAAAGCTGAATCAGATTTGTCTCTAACATAGCTTTGTTCCCTGATGTAAAAAATTAGCTTTGTGGTATCTCCATCTACTGGCTTTTCCTTCCCATGATGACTTTATCTAGTCTAACATTTCTCAAGATAACTTCATCTAGTCTGACTTTGTTTTCAGGGCTAAGTTATGTGAGCTCTCCCTTCTAGGAAATTTCCATTTCACCTAATAGTGAAATTGCTAGAATGACGGGTCTAACTTTTGGCCGCCTCTCCCTCTAATCCAACTTTTCCTGACTGTGCCCTTGCAACCAAGGCGAGGGAGAGGAGAGAAGCTTCCTCAGGTGGAGTCACCAAACAGAAATGGGTCATCTATGATAAAATATCACCTACCCAGGAGAGGGAAATGATAGGACTCTCAGAGTGGTGCAGAAGTGTACTTGTTGATCTTTTTCTCATGGTTGCTTTGAAATCCAAATTTTCTATTTAACATCAGAGTCACCCAATCTACGTGGTTTTCGAGCAACGAGGTGGAATCTGGGGACTGAAATCACGAAGAGGCAATGTGGTAGAGAGGAAAGCCCTGACATCAACCTGCCTGGGGGGCTTCTAATGACATCCACAGAATGCCCACTAGGGGAGATGCTCTTCCACTCCTTCTGGTCATCCTCAGAGCATCTCTGAGGCTTTGTTGCAATTTCAGTTTTGACCAGTGATGACCAGTGAAGACCCAGTGCAGGTCAGTGTGGTGCAGAAGGGTTCAAGTGACACCCATTCCACTCCTCCCATTGGCACGGATGCCTTAACCACCAGACCCTCAGTTCCCTGGTGTGTAAGATGGTTATAACAATGGCAACTGTGAGGTGCTGTTTTGAGGACGAGAGAGATAATCCAGCAAACCTAGTTCATGGCAGGAAGCTCTTAATGACTGTTCTCTAGCTGCACTGACCAACGGAGTTGCTAGTCCCATGTTTGTACATAAATTAAATTAATAGAAAATTTAGTTTCTCAGCAGCACCAGCCCCATTTCAGGTGGTCAATAGCCACCTACGTCTGGTGGCTACCGTGTTGGATAGCGCAGATAGAGAACATTTCCATCATCACAGAATGTTCCATTGGACAGCGCTGCTCTGTATCATTAACTCTGACTTGACACGACCACCAGAACTTAGGGCTGACCAAAATGATTCCCTTTGAGGTGGAAACTCTCCCCGGATGTTTACGGATGTTTATCTGTGGAGGTGAGAGTCAGGTGAGGCCATTCTTGGAAGGTCATCTTTTGTTCACCAGGGAAAGAAAGGGGTGATGTTTGTTTTCCCAATTAAGATAGCTTATCTAGGAGTTGGCTATTTTAGCCCTGAAAAGATGGAAAGTTGAGGCTGAGGACACCGTCCAGAGAGGGCTCAGTTCTTTCCAAGGTGCACTTAGCTGGGTCACAACAGAAGGGGCGGGGGAGGATTCTGACTTGGAGTCAGCAGAGGAAACAGTCTCTGGAGGTACAGTTCAGAAAGGACAACTAATCTGTTTTCCCAACAGATTTTCGTAAATAACTGACAGGAGATGGGCTGCTTCTCTTTAAGTATTAACCCAAATAATGGGGTTTAATCATTAAACCTTCTAGGTGGGGGCTGGCTTGTTTCTCTGATATTCTAATCCGGGTCACAGAATGGCTAAGGCAGCTTTAAGTGGAGGGTGGATTTTTTTCCCCCTCCATTTGCCTTATGTTTTGCACTCTGAAAGAACATTATGGCCTCTTTTTCCTGGTGACTACTATTCAAATTGAACAGGTATGTCACCTTGGAACTTGAAATTAGGTTACATTTTCAGTCATCTGATTGGCAAGCCTTGGACTTAAAGAACTTGGTAACTTTCTAAATTTGCAGAAGTGTCACGGCTTGAAAGTTGAGCCCCTGTTTTATGAGTTTGGAAAACAACTATTAAATCACCTATGATGATTGATGTTAAAGTTTCCAGAGTGTTTGGGGCTGAATATTTGTAGTTCTGTTTTCTGGTTATTGAAGTGGCATTAACTATTAGCACTTAGTGAATACTGTTTGACACAATTTCTCACCACATGCTGCTCTTTTCAGGGGCTCAATAGCCACCGCTGTCTAGTGTCTGCCATGCTAGACAGCACAGATCTAGAACATTTCCATTATTGCAGAAAGTTCCATTAGATGGCACTGCTCTTTATCATTAACACTGATTTCATAAAAGTACCAGACATTAGGACTGACCAAAACCATTCCCTGTGCAAGAAAATGCTTTTAAAGTGAGCATAGTATCAGACCAGCTTAAAGAGCTGAAGTGTAGAAGGATTTCACATCTACAAACTTAAAAAGCAAGACCATTGTTGATCAGGAATCAACACAGACATGATTTACACTGGAAAGGCTGGTTACCAATGCTGATATGGTGATAGGCCTGCTCGTGCAGATGAGAACGATAAACTCAGCACAGCGCATGGAAATGGAAGGTGCTAGCCAGCTGTCCTTGGAGCATGAATTTATGTTGTCTTTCAGATGTTGGGGATAATTTGACCTGATATCCTGTCTTTTCATTGCTTCCTCTTAAATTCAAGAGTGTGAGCTGGCTGGTGATGTGTCGGAGTTGAGTTTTGGTCATAGCACAAAGCGCCAAGCTATTCAGATCAGAACAGGATTGACATAGTTCTAGATTACATATCTTGTCAATGGAGCCACTTACGTGGGTAAATGTTAAAGGACTGAAAGCCTGTGCAGTGAATGAAGCATACAACCACTACAGCATTCAAAACATTTCAGAGAGATAGGCTCGGTGCATAAAGGAATCAAAGTGTACAATATAAGAGAGGATAAGGAAAGAGTTACAAAGCTAAACATACGTATACTCTATGACCTGGAATTTCACTCCTGGGTAAATACCCAAGAAAAAGAAAACATATGGAAAAATCATGGGCAAGAATGTTCATAGCAGCTTAGCTGCCTGCTGTGCATATACTTGACACATAGTAGGTGCTCAATAAATAAGAAATCGGATTGAATCTACATTTCATGTGTGGTTTCACAGATGAAGAGACACATACTAGTTGTATATATTTGTTCATCGGTTTGGATTTTAAGCCTATACTACGGATTAAATAAGCAAAGCCATTTTATTAACGATTTCCATTTCAACCCATTACTACCTTAATAACATCAGATTGAGCTCTTTGGGATAATTTTTTTTTCTTTTTCAAGTTTTTATTTAAATTCCAGTTAGTTAACATACAGTGTAATATTAGTTTCAGGTATAGAATTTAGTGATTCATCACTTACATATAATACCTAGTGTTCATCATGAGTACCCTCCTTA